GTACGGTGGGACTGGGGCTGTCAGGATGGGTTTGGGGGTTTCAGAGTGGGTTGAGGTGGGTTTGGGGTAGTTTGGGGGTATCAGGGTGTTTGGGGCTGGGCAGGATGGTTTGGGAAGTGAGTGGACTCTCCCAGGGAAAGGGATGAAGGGAAAAGTGAGGATGCTCTGGGGGGAGCGTCAGGGCATGGGGGATCAGCATTGTTCCTTCATGGGATCCGAAGAGGAGGTGCTGGGGGAGAGGGGATGGATGGATCCCTTCTTGGAAGGAGATGCTGGGTAAGATCCATGGCCCAAATCCTGCTGGTGCCAGCTGATCCTCCAGGTCACCTCCACAGGGCTGGAGGTGCCTGCAGAGCTGCTGAGAACTCGTGTCCCTGTGCTGCAGCTGATTCCCCTGGCAGAGATGCTCCCTAGTTGCATCAGGAACTGTCTGTGCTTTCCTGCCTTGTCCTTCAGCTGAGCCATAAGCCTTGAGTGATGCTGTGCCACAGATTCAGGAGGTCTGACCCCAGCTACAACCTCCTTCCTGCTCCATAACAACAGGGAGTTGGGACTAGATGATCTCTAAGGTCCATTCCAACCCCTTATCATCCTGTGAAACTGTAACCCCAGGTGTGCTGGATGTGGGAGCTCATCCCTGGGGACTGCTGGTGTTCTCTCTCACCTGAGCCTGCCACACAGGGAATTGTGCAGTAGGAGAGAAGATATTTGACGAGCTGCAGTTTGCAGAGTGGGTTGGGTTTTTTTTACTATAATAACTCCTTAATGAAATTCTGCTGGAGCTTGTGCTTCTTCACAGTCCTCTGGTGATAGAGGCAATGTGAGAGCTCCATAGAATGGCTTGGCTTGGGAAGGACTTTAAAGATCATCTAATTCTAACCCTTTGCCATGGGCAGGGACACCTCCCACCAGCCCAGGCTGCTCCAAGCCCCATCCAACCTTGCCTGGAACACTCCCAGGGATGGAGCAGCCACAGCTGCTCTGGGCAACCTGTGCCAGTGTCTCACCACCCTCCCAGCCAGGAATTCCTTCCCAATATCCCATCTGTCCCTGCTCTCTGGCAGTGGGAAGCCATTCCCTGTGTCCTGTCCCTCCATCCCTTGTCCCAAGTCCCTTTGCAGCTCTCCTGGAGCCCTTTAGGCACTGCAGGGGGCTCTAAGTTCTTCATCCTTATTTGCACGTCTTGCTTCTCCTGACTTACCCCATGAGAAGCTCCAGGGAGGGAAACACATCCTGCCCAGGGATACTGACAAAGGGAATGAGGATCTAACAAGCCAATGTAAGAGCTGCACAGTCTGTGCACTGTGGAAATCATGGACTCATGATTGCCTTTATTTTCATGGAAGGGATGCATTTATCTTGCTGAATTCTTTCCTCATTGCTCCCTGGAAAGCAAAATACACCTGAGAGGAGATGATACTGTCACCTACTGGTGGCAGGTGAAGCCCAGACCTACCCTATGTGTTGCTCAGTGAAGGCATCAGAGGTAGAAACTTGGTTGTTAAAGCTCCAATAACATTTTGGGAAGGACATTATTCAGGTGACCTGAGTTGCTCCTCAGTCCCAGCTCTCCTCTCACTACCAGCCCATGTCCCTCCAGTGCAGAGAGACACATTGACACTGCATGGGTGGCATTTCTTCACTTCTTTGCTTGTTCCTTCCTCTCTAGGCTTCTGGGCTGACAGAACACCAGTGCATGAAGCAGCCAGGAGGGGAGAGATCCTGCAGCTGCAGCAGCTGATCGAGAACGGAGCCTGTGTCAACGCTGTCACCTATGACTCCATCACCCCCTTGCACGAGGCCAGTCTGCGAGGGCAGACACAGTGTGTCAAGCTGCTGCTGGCTGCAGGGGCCCAGGTATGTGTTCTGCCCTGATCCACCTGGGATCTGGATATCCTCACCCAGCTCTGGGCTCCAGAGCCAAAATCAGTCAAACAGAAGCACTGGATTCTTGCCCAGCTGGGCAAGAGGCCAATGGCCCCTGGCTTGGAGCAGCCCCAGGGCAGGGACTGTCCCTGTGCTGGCACTGCTGAGCCACCTCTAGGCCTGTGGCAGCTCTGGGCCCTCAGAACAACAGGGACATGGAGGGGCTGGAGGTGTGCAGGGTAGGGCACGGAGCTGGGAAGGGGCTGGAGCAGCAGGAGAGGCTGAGGGAGCTGTGGGGGCTCAGCCTGGAGAAAAGGAGGCTCAGGGGAACCTTCTGCTCTCCCCAACTCCTGCCAGGAGGTGCAGCCAGGTGGGGTCAGGCTCTGCTCCCAGGGAGCAAGGGACAGGACATGGGGAAACACTTCAAGCTGTGCCAGGAGAGGTTCAGGTTGGCTATTGGGACAGTCCCTCCTGGAAAGGGCTGTCTATCCTTGGCATAGCTGCCCAGGGCAGTGGTGGAGTCACATCCCTGGATTTACCAACCACATGGATGTGGCACCTGGGGACATGGTCAGTGGTGGCCTTGGCAGTGCTGTGTTAACACATGGACTCAATGACCTTAGAGGTGTTTTCCAAGCTAAACAATTGCATGATTCCATGATCTTACCTGAGGTTTCTCCTGCCCTGAAGGTGGACGCCAGGAACATCGATGGCAGCACTCCGCTCTGCGACGCCTGCGCCTCGGGGAGCATTGAGTGTGTGAAGGTGCTGCTGTCCCACGGGGCCAAAGTGAACCCTCCCCTGTACACAGCATCTCCTCTCCACGAAGCCTGCATGAATGGTAAACCCACCTGGTTTTATCTTCTCATGGCTATTTTTGGCTTGGAGGGAAAAAAACCATGGCCAAGTGGCTTAGTTTGACCATAAGTTGTGGTTGGTCAACACCTTCTGGTTGTTCAGAGGTGCTGGAGGAAGGTGTTGGGTGGGAAGGCAGTGGCAGGGGCTGTTGGGCAGTGCTGCTGCCTGTGCTGCTCCTTGTCCCTCTTCCAGCCTTTCCAGAGGCTAAGAGAAAACTACAGAGGGCAAAATGATGTGTACCTGCTGCTCTCTGCTTGCCCCATCCTCTCCTTCAGCCTCTCCTGGACATTTGGGTGAGCGTTATGGAGCAGAGGAGTATTTAATCATAGAATCACAGGATGGTTTGGGTTGGAAGGGACAGCTCATCTGGTTCCAACCTCCTGCCATGGGCAGGGACACCTCCCACCAGCCTAGGTTGCTCCAAGCCCCATCCAACCTGGCCTGGAACCCTCCCAGGGGGGGAGAAGCCACAGCTTCTCTGGGCAACCTGTGCCAGTGCCTCAGCACCTCCCAGGGAGGAATTTTCTACTTACCTTTACTAATTGAAGTGCAATTCCTTCCCCAAACGTCCACTTGCACAGAGGCAGCAACAGGAGAACCTGGATGTGAGAGCAGCAATGTCCCTGTTAGATGATTGTGACCAAATCTCTTCATCATTTTGTGCCTCAGTTTCCCCTGTGTGAGTTGTAATCCCTCCTCTCTCCTCCCCTCCACTGTTTATGCTGTCCTGGACAGAGTTTTCCTTCTCCTCTGAAGCATTTTTGGCAAACAGGTAGTTATTAAATCCATAACTGTGAGCTCTTGCATAGCTTTTCCTTGTTTTTTTCCGAGGCTTGATGATGATTCCCTGCTTGTTGTTCAGCTGTGTTATTAGCACTGGGAAAAATCAAGTTGGAATAGTCATGAAGGTGATCTAACCTACCCAGGGGAGGGTCAGGAGTACAAACAGCTCCACCAGCAACAGGTGATTTAGTGCAAATCCTGGAATTCAGGGTGTCCTGATTCCCTCCAGACCTGCTGGCTCAATGCTGTGCAGATGTGACTATTTCTCATGTCCTGCTCTTGCTCTTGATGTGCTGTGTTGGCTCACAAGCCTTTCTAGTCTCCCCCTGAGCTCAACCAGGCTGATCTCAGCATCCCGTTGGAGCTAGATTCTTTCTCTTCCCTTCCCAAAGGCAGCTCAGAGTGTGTGCAGCTCCTCATCGACGTCGGCGCCAACTTGGAGGCTCATGACTGTCATTTTGGGACTCCTCTGCACGTGGCCTGTGCCAGGGAACATCTGGACTGTGCCAAGTTGCTGCTCAAGGCAGGTAATGAGGCCTCAAGGCTGGATTTTGGGTGGGCTGGAGGTGGTGATGTCTGTGGGGAGTGTTTCCCTGGGTGCTCCACAGCACATTCCCGTGGGAAAGCTTATTCACACCATAACAGAGATGGGAAAGGGGAAAGGTTTGGCCTTTATGAAGCAAAACCTAATGCTCAAGTGTTTTCTCCATGTATAAACATCAATATCTAAAATATGAAACCAGAGAAGCAAACTCATGCTCCGCCAGCAGTGAGAACTAGTTCAGTATTTTAGTTTCCTGTTTGTGCTGGGTTTTAGATCATTTCCCAGCTGCTTATGTGTGTTTCAACAGCATTTTGCACTCTAGTCAAACCACTCCTTGTTTTGGGGTTGAGTGAGGCTTTCCTGACCAGCTCTAGTTTCCTTTCTCTCTCCAGGAGCCAATGTGAATGCTGCCAAGCTGCATGAGACAGCTCTGCACCATGCAGCAAAGGTGAAAAATGTGGACCTGGTGGAGATGTTGGTGGAGTTTGGAGGCAACATTTATGCCAGGGACAACCGAGGAAAGAAGCCGTCGGATTACACCTGGAGCAGCAGCCCCACAGCAAAGTGCTTTGAGTACTATGAGAGTAAGTGAGATAAGAGCCTCTCCCTCAGGAACCTGGTGGCACCAGGTCATGGTTCTCAGACCATGTAGATCCCTGGTGATCTCAGAATCATGGAATAGTTGAGTTGGAAGGGAACTCTTGCTATGAGCAGAGACACCTTCAGCTGGATCAGGTTGCTTCAAGCCTCATCCAGCTGGGATGGGAGAACTCTAAATTCCTCCTGTGAAGAAGATGGGCCAAATCATGCCCTCACTGAACTCAGGTCCCTCTCAGCATGAGCCTTTATGCTTTGGTGCGTTGACTCAGGGCAAGGAAATCACCCAGCTGAATACTCAGTATATCTGGGGCAAGAGGAAATGGCCTCAAGTTGCACCAGGGGAGGTTTAGGTTGGATATTGGGACAATTTCTTCCCTGAAAGGGTTGTCCAGCCCAGGGATGTGGTGGAGTCACATCCCTGGAGGGATTTAACAGTCTTGTGGATGTGGCACTTGGGGACATGGTCAGTGGTGGCCTTGGCAGTGCTGGGGATGGTTGGACTTAATGATCCTATGAGGACAGGCTGAGAGAGTTGGGGCTGCTCAGCCTGGAGAAGAGAAGGTTGTGTGGAGAGCTCAGAGCAACCTGCCAGGAGCTGAAGGGGCTCCAGGGAAGCTGCAGAGGGACTCTTGGGTAGGAGCTGCAGGGACAGGACAAGGAGCAATGGGGAGAAATTGAAAGAGGGAAACTGAGATCTTAGGCAGAAGTTTTCCCTGTGAGGGTGGTGAGACACTGTTCCAGGTTGCCCAGGGAGGCTGTGGCTGCCCCAACCCTGGCAGTGTTTCATTCCAGGTTGGATGAGCCTTGAGCAACCTGCTCTGGTGGGAGGTGTCCCTGCCCAGGGCAGGGTGTTGATGCTGTATGATCTCTAAGCTCCATTTCAACCCCTTAACACACTATGAAACTCTGATTTATGTTGCACATCACCACCACTCAGGATGGATTTTGCCTCCAAATGGTGCTTGATGAGCTATCCAGACCCAGCTGCCTTGCAGGTTCATTCCAACCCCTTCACATGCTATGAAACCTCCCACCATAGCAGGTTCCTCAAGGCTTTAGCCAACCTGGCTTTGATCAGCATGTGCTGAGCCACAGCCCTAACTTTGTCTCCTCTTTTTTCCCCTCCAGAGACACCCCTGAGCCTGTCCCAGCTGTGCCGGGTGACAGTGAGGAAAGCCGCCGGGCAGCGAGCGCTGGAGAAGATCTCCAAGCTCAATATTCCACCACGATTAATCCAGTACTTGTCTTACAACTGACAGGGATGAAGGTGGCCTGGGAGGACAACACCTTCAGCAACCACACTATGAAGTATTCGTCTCTTTCTCTTCTACCTCCCCCCAAGAACCTTCAGTTTAATTTAAGCTGTAAATAGTATTTATGAGGCACTTCCATGGGCTCAGGTGTGGTGTGATGTCTCCTGAGGTGATGCTTAGGATGGTCAAGGCTGTGGTGCTGCTTGGGGGATTCAGCTTGCCTAATTTTACCTGCCCCTAGCCCAAAGGCACCTCTGTGTGATCCCTTTGCAGGCAGTGGAGGGACAGGGATACTTCTGGAGCATGATTCATCTGTCCCAGTTTAGATGCCCATACTGGGATGATGCAGCATGGAATGAGCCAGGACACCTGTCTCTGCTGGCTGCAAAGGGACTGGGAGGTGCTAACCTTGGCTATGGATGTGTTCCTGCACTGGGAGCTGTGGATCTCACCTCTCTGAATAACTCAACTGCCTGATGCCAAGGGACAAGGCTTGAGAGACCTGCTGGAAGCAAATTAGGTCCCTAATCAGCTCAGGATTAATTAGAGTCAGGGAATGACTTCCAGAAGCATCACAGGCTTTGGCTCAACACCAGGAATGAGGAAAACCTGCTGCCAAGTCAGGGTTGGCTTTGTCCATCTCCTTCCTCACTGAAGGTGACCCAGCTCGTAGTGTCCCTGAGGGTGTCACCATCTCATTTCCAAGCCCAAACAGTTCTCTCTTCACATCCAAGGATTCTTCCCTGCTCCCAAACTCCATTTCTCCACTCCCTCTGAGCTACTGTGGCCACTCAGTTGGGGTTAAGTGCAGTAAGTGTGGCACATCCCTCATGGAGCAGGGCAGGAGGTCCTTGTGGGGTACAAGGGGAGGGTGAGAGCTCTACCTTGAGTTTGGGGAGTTTTAGGTGTAGTTCTCCACTTCTGAGTGTCCTCTGCAATGCTGGAACCCTTTGGCTTCAGCAGGCACCACTGCAACTTTGCCCTTGGGTGATTGGAAACCTTCAAGAGCCCAAAGGCTCATCTCCCTTCCAGATGAGACATCACATGTTGTCTGAGGTCTGTCCCACAGGATCTAGGTGGGATGGAGCTCCCTGGTGCCCTCATGGCATGTCCTAGCACTGTGACAAGAACAAATTCCTCCTCTGAATGACAGCAAAGGGATGAAATCCACTGTCCATGGAGCCAACTCAACACCCTGTGGTGAACTGATGAGCTCAAGCTCAGCCTCAGGAGGGAGGAGGAACACAACCCAAGCCAGGGCTGGAGCGCTGAGGTGGAACTTGATGCACTTTAATGGTGACTAGCAAACCACTTCCTTTTTTAATTAGATTTATTCCCCTCAAACCCCTTTTGTTGGTGGATTTTTTTGGGTTTATTTTTCCTGTAGATGTAGAGCTGGGCAGGAACATTTCCATGTCTCCTGCTTATGGGGAGGAATTGTCTAATTCTGCTGTTTGTCTTTTCAATATCACAACTGTGAAATTGCCAAGAAGCTCAGGGAAGCCCTAGAGGTGTTTATTGTGGGATTCAGCCCTGGGATTGAGAGGAGAAAGGTTTTCTAGACTAGTTTGGGTTGGAAAAGACCTTTCAAGGTCATCTAGTCCAACCCTTTGTATTGTCCCTTCAAGAAAAGCTTCCCCTGCCCAACTTGCATGTCCTCACACATAAATACCTAGTAGGGAATTGGTCATCTGGGGTGAAAACCTCCTTTTTGGTTCCAGTTCCACACCTTATTCCATTGCTTTTTTAACATTGCCTAAGCTGGTGAGACCCTGAGATGGTGACCCCCAAATTTCCTGTGTCAAAGCAAAAACTCCTGCACCAACCAAGAATAAAAATCACAAGATCTTACTGATGTCATCTTTACTTTTTTCCCCTCTCTTTTCAGTCACCTCTTTGGCAGGTCCTAAAAATCTCTTGTAAGAGTTCTTGGTGGTCAATTCATGCACCAGGAAGGACTTGATTGTATTTGTTTCTCGTGTGTACAAGGAAAAAGGTTTGGAGAGGTTCTGATCTGGAATTCGTAGGCATCTCTCCTGGCTGATGGACCCTCTGGCCATGTAGGGTTGTCTTGTCCCAGTTATGGGATAAAAGCTTTGAAATCCCAAGGAGCCAATCCATGCCTTGATTCTAGGGACTGGGACTGTTGTGGTGGTGGTGAAGCACCTGTGGATTTGTGAGGAGTTTGGGAATTGCTGGGAATGGGAGAAGATGCTGAATCACAGGTGTTACCAAGTGAAACTCCTCCAGTGGGTCACACCCTCAGCTTTATTTTCAGGTCAGGTTTTGGCTGTTAGTTGACTTTCTTCACCCTTTAATCCAAATGTCAAACCAGGACAGGAATCCAACCCAAACAATCCCAACCCTCCAGAGCTGTCCTGTCATCTCTCCCCTTCCCAAGCTCCCACACTGCCAACCCAGCTGAGCACTTCGGGCCAACTCTTCTCTCCTGGGGGTTTCTCCATTGGCTTTGCTATGGGTCCAGCAGCACAGAGAATGGGCTGGAATAACCCAACTGCTTCAGGGAAGCCTAGGTGGGAACAGAGGTGTGCTTTCATCCATGGAAATCATCTCCTGGGCACTGCCAGTTGCTCCTGGCTGGACTTCTGAAGGTTGGTTGGTGAGGGGGAGTTTGGTGGTAGCAGCTTTTCATCACCTATGTGAAGGTTATCCAGGAAAAACAAGGTGGGACTGAAGCCAATTACTTGGAAGAAAGCCTTCCCAGTGGGAAGAAACAGAAGACACCAACCCCAAACAGGGTTGGGTTCCTGTTTTGTGATGTCTTCAGAGTCTTTGTACAAGAGAAGAACCCCAAGAGGTGCTCTGAGCACCAAACAAAGCCCTCAGTGTCCTCTAGAAGGTGACACAGAGCCCTTGGCAACCTCAGAGAAGTGACACAAATCCCTTGGTGTCCTCAGAGAGGTAACACAGCCCTCGGTGTCCTCTGGCAAGTGACACTTGAAGGTGAGTCATGCAGTGGTTGCATCTCATTTAGTCATGCAGTGGTTGCATCTCATTTAGACCAAGCATGAGCATAAAGTGCTGTTCTACCTCTTGGTCTTGAAAGATCTTGCCCAAACACTGAAGACCTTTAGGACTGACCTGAGCTCTCACACACCTTCGGCATTTCCCTCCTTTCTTCAGGGGAGCAAGAGTTCTTCACAAGAAGGTGGTGCCTGTACCATACTCTTTAGCAGAGTTGGAGGAGTCTTTGGTGACTTCTGCTTGCTTGAGGTCCAGTCTTGGGCAGCTCAGAGGATGGTGAACATCCCTGGAGGCATATGGAGCATCAACTGTTCTTAAATCAGGTGTTTTAAGCCCAAGATTGTCACTTTCAAAATCCAATGTAGCTCCTAAATCCATAGCAAGGTAGTGAAGCACAAGGAATGAAGCAAACCCTCCTGATTTCTTGTCACCTCTTGGAAACCTTCACTACTTCTTGGGGTTCACCTCCTCCAGGCTCTCCTCCCTGCATGTCATCAGGGACAAAACCTTTGTGTCCTGCAAGAAAACCCCCGAACCAACTCATTTTTCACCCAGAAGAGTAGATGGAGCTTGTGCTTTGGTAGGTGCCCTTAAACTGGGATACCCTGATGCTTCCTTGGATTTAGGAACCAGGACACCAAGCTCAGAAGGTGTTGACCTGTGGTAAGAATCAAGAGCTCTACAGAGCTGCTGTTTGTATTTATATCTGATTGGGTTTTAGTGGTGGGAAGACCTGGGCAGGTGTGAAGGTTCTGGAGTGTTAATGGTGATTAAAACTCACTCTAAAAGGTTCAGCCTGTGTCTGACTCTTTCTGCTCTGCATGGTTGGAGTCTCCATGGAACTCTCTGGCTTTGGCAGCCTCATTCCAAAAAAAGGCTGAGTGCCAGGTGGAATTGCTCTCCTGAGGGAGAACCAGCCCAGGGCTGTGCTCATGGATGGACACAGCCAAAGAGTTGGCTCAGTGTCCAAGTGGAAGCTCTTAAGATGTGTCCTTCAAGGGTCTGCACTGGGACCAGTAATCTTCATCAATGGCAGAGTGGGATTGAGTCTGCAGGTGACACCAGGCTGAGTGGAGCAGGTGATTTGGGTGGAATTGCTCTCCTGAGGGAGAACCAGCCCAGGGCTGTGCTCATGGATGGACACAGCCAAAGAGTTGGCTCAGTGTCCAAGTGGAAGCTCTTAAGATGTGTCCTTCAAGGGTCTGCACTGGGACCAGTAATCTTCATCAATGGCAGAGTGGGATTGAGTCTGCAGGTGACACCAGGCTGAGTGGAGCAGGTGATTTGGCAGAGGGAAGGGATGGGCCCACCAAGTCCTCGTGGACTGGAGGAGCTGGTTGGGATGGGGAAAAGGTGCCTGGGAGGGTTTTGGGGAGGGTTTTTTTGGGAGGGAATCAGCACTGATTGGTGTAAAAGCTTCTAAGTAGGTTTGTTTGGGCAGGAGGAAACCTCTTCCCACGGCGGCACCGCTTGGCGGAGCTGCTCCTCCCAAGAAAAGCAGCAGGAAAACCTCCCTGGGAGTGGGAATATTTCACCAGCTGGGGCTGCCCCAGCCACGTTTATTCAGGAGAAAGGCAAAGCCTGGAAAACTTGGCCAAATCTCCTCCCCCAGACAAGCCCAGGCTGTTTTCCCTGGGTGGATGACAAAGGCATCGCAGCTCCCCCCGAGCCAAAATGCTCTTTTATCCCGGGAAAACTCCTAAACCTGCAAGCATAATTCTCATTTCACCTGGATTCGGGGGTTTTCTCCCCCTTATTCTGGTTAAGAAATGAATGGAAACATCAAATCCCCTTTGCAAAACTGAATTCCTCCCTCCAGGCTTCTAGTCTCTCCATTGGAAAAAGGTTTCGAGTTCCCCAGATCTGGTAGCAATAAAATTCCCTTGATCTCGGCTCAGGGGGGAATAGTTTTTAAGGGGGAAAAATGGGAATTGAGGGAATGATGTGGAAAGCAGCTTGGCTGGGGGGAAAGGGGGAGCACAGGGCAGGTTGGATGGAATGGAAATAGGGACAAAATAAGGATGGAGCTGCTGCAAAACAGATATTTCTTCTTTCCAGCTTTGCCTGGCCCCTCTCTCCCTTCAAGGGCTGATTTGGGATTAGGCTGGACCAAAGTGGAAAATTCAGGTGGTTAAAAAGAGGGGAAAGTATTGGGATCTGAAGCTGTGGAGATAGGGATGAGGTGGTTTTGTTGTTTAGTCCTGGAGATGATTTCTAGAGCCACAATCTTCTCCTCCTGCTCCTGCCCATGCTGGGGGAGCAAAGAGGGAGAAGACCCCAAGATCTCCTTGGGTTGGGCTGTGGTTCCACAGGGCACAAGCAGAGCCACATTCGTGGGGACTGAGCTCATGCTGCTATTAATTTCCCATTAGTTAAAATTCCTGACAGCTCCAGCACTGCAGGGATGGAAACTGAAGCAGCTCCGGTTGCAGTTAACCCCTGCAGGGAATGCCTGACTTTTTGGGATGAGCCACTTTTTGATTGACTCCATCCCTTGAAGGTTGTTAAGTCACCACTTTGGCCAGCCTAAGGCTGCTGCAGGTCCTTGCCTGGTTCCTGGGGGAACCTTTCAGATGTCCTCAAATCCCTCCTGGTGCCTCCAAAGACCTTGGCCAGTTTAATCCCCCAGCAGCCAGCCAGGCTGGAGCCACATCTGCACACCCTGGGATGCTCCAAGTCCAACCACGGATCAATGGATCAGTGACCAGTTGCATTTCACACTCTAAATTCCCCAAGGCTGAGCTCCAGAGGCTTATTTTGGTAAGCTGAACTTGGGAAACTCCTCAGTAGTGGAAGGAGAGTGGAGCCTTGTGAAATGTGGTGGCAGCTGGAGGCTCCTGGTGTTCCCTCCACAAAATCCCTTGGGGCTTTATGTTGAGCCTTGGGAATGCTGGAGAATGGGATGGAGGTGTCCTCCTTGCAGAGAGCACAGGGATCATCTCATGCCCCAACCTTTTCTTTGCAGAGCATGGGGATCACCAGCCTGGGCTCTCCTAGTCACACTTGTCTCCTACTCCCACTTATTCCCAGCCCAAAGTCTTGTCCTTGTCTTCTGGTCCCACTTGGCCTTGTCCCCCTGGTCCTTTCTAATCCAACCTTCTCCATATCTTGGTCCCACTTGTCCTTGTCCCCTGGTCCCTTCTCCTGGTTCCACTTGTCCCCATCTCCTGGGTCTTTTTGCCCCCTCTCCTTGTCCCACTTGTCTCCTGCTCTCACTTATCCTCAGCCCAAAGTCTTGTCCTTGTCCCCTGGTCCAACTTCTCTCCATCTCATGCTCCCACTTTTCCTTGTCTTCTGGTCCCACTGATCCCTTCTCCTGGTTCAATCACTTGGAGGGCCTGAAAAGCTGGATTTGGGAAGCAAAATCCCCTTCCTTGCCTCTGCTGAATAAAACAGGACCCTCCTGTCCATCCATCTGTCCATCCCAAGGGATCCTGGCGGAACCAAATGGGGAGAAGTAGGAAAACATCTCCCGCAGATGACGTTCTCCAGGTTTGTGCCACTGATGGAGCTTCTGGCTGGGCTCCAACCTCCTGTTACAAATCATTGTTAGGACAAACCAGCTTGGGATAAGTGGCATAAAAAAATTCCACTGGAAACTAAACAATCCCAGAATAGAAGGAGAAAAGGTCAAGCTTAAAAATAGCAAGTTTGGGTTGGGGTTGAAACCTACACTAATGAATAATCCTGGTTGGGGGAAGAGCTAATTTTAGTGGCTCCAACACAATAGCCTGGAGTGACCCCTTCATGTGGGTGGAATGTGCTGGATTTGGGGCTGTTTTCTCTGGATGTTGCCCCTCTGGAGCTGGAGGAGTTGGGTGTGTGAGGAGAGGGCAGAGCATGGAGAAGGCTCCGGGGGCTGTGCCTGGGGTGGAGAGAGTGTGGGTGTGCTCAGCCCTCCTGCCTGGCATGCAGGCACCTGCCCAGTTTTCCCAGCAGCAGGAAAACAACTGGGATTGCCAAAGTTCCCAGCCCCAGGGATGGGCTGGAAGCAGAGGGTGGAGGTGTGTGGTGGTTTGAGTGTCTCCAGTGCTGTGGTGTCACCCCGAGCCCCTGTTTGCTCGTTAGTGGCTGAGCATTAATAAGGCTCTTTGTAATTCATTTCCTTTCAAATCCCGAATCCAATCATGTAGGGAATCACTTCATCCCAGGGCAGGAGATCTGCTGTGGTTGATTTCACTCTCTGTGGGGAAACTGAGTCACACCTAGTGTGACAGGGTGGATTATAGCCAGGGAAGGTGAATCCTGCTCTGCTCATCTTTGGGATGGGAACTAAGGATAAATCCAGCTGCCAACTCACCTCTTAGCTTGGAAAAGAGGGAAAAGAACCCTGGAGAGCTTGGGGGTGCAGACAGCAGACCCCAAAACGATGAGATTTGGGATGGAGATGGCCACATCCCATGGGATGCAGCTGGAGAGAGTCTCTGCCACCCACAAGGGACATCTTTCCTGCTTGTAGGGAAGAAGGATGGAGGGGGAAGAGGATGAGGATAGGTAGGGCTTGATTTGGGGGGTGGAGTTAGGAGGAACCTCAAGGAGAAGCTGAATGAAGCACTGTCAGCCACCAGGACACGGGGGACATTCCTTTATTGGACTCAGGGAACATGCAGTGGCCACTGGAACCTCTACAGACACAAGAGCTGCATCTCCTAGGAGACACTGTGTCCACCTGCATCCCAAGCCACATCCTGCCAGCTGAGATGCCCTCATCCAGTGCAGACACTGCTGGGTGATGCTCCAACTGGAATAAAAGAGGATTGTTCCAGCCTGGAATGGCGTGGAGAAGGCAGGAGGGGATGGAGGGGCTGAGGGACCACCAGAACCTCTGTTCCCTATGGAAAAAGGAAGGAAAACTTTAACAGCAGCACCAGGAACATCAATTTGTCCAACCACCCAAGGTGGTCAGGATGGGGGAGGTGCAAGTTTTGGGGTGGCTGGTACACCGGGTGGGGTGGACCCTGTGGTCCAGGACGAGCCGTGGTCACTGGGTTGGGCACGAAGCCACATCCCAGAGAGTTACCTGTGGGCTGGAGCTGGGAGAGGGTGTTGCTGGGGGCTCACTTCTCCGTCATCATCCTCACGAACTCCTCATAGTTGACCTGCCCATCGTTGTTGCAATCAGCCTCCTTGATCATCTCATCTACCTCCTCATCCGTCAGCTTCTCCCCAAGGTTGGTCATGACGTGCCGCAGCTCCGCGGCGCTGATGTAGCCGTTCCCATCCTTATCAAAGACACGGAAAGCCTCCCTGATCTCCTCCTCACTGTCCGTGTCCCTCATCTTCCTGGCCATCAGCGACAGGAACTCCGGGAAGTCGATGGTGCCGCTGCCGTCGGCGTCCACCTCTCCCACCATGTCCTGCAGCTCTGCCTCGGTGGGGTTCTGCCCCAGGGAGCGCATGACGGTGCCCAACTCCTTGGTGGTGATGCAGCCATCCCCATCCCGGTCAAAGAGGGAAAAAGCCTCCTTGAATTCCGCGATCTTCTCCTCCGACAGGCGCTCGGCCATGGTGCGTCCTGCTCCCACGCGGCTCTGCCCCGGCACGCCGTGCCCCTGGCGACGTCTCCTCCCTCCTCTGCCTCTCCCTGCAGCTGCAGGAGGAGGAGGAGGAGGAGGGAGATGGGGCACAAAGGAGAGGCTGAGCCATGGGAGAAGCAAGGAGATATCAGGGCGTGCAGGAGATGTTGAGCCGTGGAGGAAAAAAGGAGGGACAGGCTGAACCATGGGAGAAGCAAGGAGAGATCAGGACACAGGGGAGAGGATGAGCCATGGAGGGAGCAAGGAGGGATCAGGGCATGCAGGAGAGGTTGAGACATGGGGGAAGAAAGGAGAGACAGGCTGAGCCATGGGAGAAACAGGAGAGGCTGAGCCATGGGGGAAGAAAGGAGGGATCAGGACACACAGGAGAGGTTGAGCCATGAGGGATGCAACAAGTGATCAGGACACACAGGACAGGCTGAGCCATGGGGGAAGAAAGGAGGAATCAGGACGCACAGGAGAGGCTGAGCCACGGGGCAGAAGGAGCAGCTCAGCCAGACCCTGGTGGAGCAGACAGGGGAGTTTTGGGGTGCTGGAGAGCAAAGGTGCCAGTCAACTCCCCTCTGGGCCACCCTGGCTGCTGTCCTGCTGCTCTGCTGGTGGCATTCCATGGGACCAGCTCCTACCAAACCCCTCATTAAGGGATCTGGGCTGTGGCTGGCAGGAATGGTTTCGGGGAGAGGCAAGGAGCTGGCAGGAGGGAGGGAGGGGACACACACTGGTTTGCTGACTTTAAGGCCACTTTGGAGGGGTTTGGAGTTGTGCAGAGGTCTCCACGGGCAGTTGAGAGGGTCCTCCCCACCCCCAGGGCCACCACAGTGGTGCTGGCAGAGTGTCAACCTGCTGGGGGAGGTGTCCTGTGCAGGTCCAGGCAGAGCCTGAGTGCCTGGAGCTGATGTGCTCTGTGCTGACAGAGACCTGAGTCACCCGTGGTGCCTCTGCTGGGCTCCCTGAGGGCAGCCCCTGGGGGAGATGACGTGGGGTCAGCAGGAGTGGTGTCAGCAGTCCTGCCCTGGTTACTCAGGGGTGAACCTCAGGGTTCATCACATTGTAATGTCCTGCTCTCAGTTTTACTCATCTCTTACAGCAGGGAGTACAGGAGGGTTCAGAGACAAATGATGGGCTGTTTGTCTGTCCATCCATCCATCCATCCATCCCTCCCTCCCTCCCTCCCTCATTCCCTCATTCCCATGTGCCCATAACAGTCCAGTGACCTTCACCAGTTGGACCAAAGAGCTACTGAACCAGACAACCAAGTTCCACAGCAGAAGATAATTTGCCTTTCTCAGCTACAGGAAACTGGCACCAGTTTATTCCAGTTTAGAGCTGTGGGATTTGGAGGGAAGGCCACAAACCAGAAGGCAGCCCATGGGACAGCTGAGGAACACATGAGGAATGGAGTCTCCAGGTGGGATAAATCTAGGAGGAGATCACCATCTTGACGAAAACCTCCTCTGGAAGAAACTGTGGGCACTTGGAACTCTGCTGTTCCCAGGAGGAATCATCTGAGCCATGCAGGGAACCTGTCTGACAGGAGGCACAGCACTGCTCACCCCGTGAGTAGTGGGAGGGAAGGTCCTGGCAGCTCCTCTGGTGAAACCAGCTGCTCCCTAATTGTCTAATTGCCCACACTTGCTCCAGATTTAATTCTATCCAATCAAAATTGCCAGGGAAGAGCCCTGGGCAGGCGAGGAAGGAGCCCAGGGGAGGGGGAGTTGGCTGGAATCCAGCTGGGAGAAGCAAACTCCAATGGATAACCAGAGGGTTTGGAGCCTGCAAGGATTAAGGTGTTTGTTCAGGCTGTGGGGGAGAAGTTGGAGCTCCAAAGTGAGGATGTTATGGTGCTAAGGCTGGAGGGGTGTCTCTGCCCTGGGTGTCTCTTGGTATGCAGTGAAGATGGGACCTGCTGCTTCCTTCCCCAGGACCTCCCCATCACCAGCACCATCACCTCCCCATTCCATGCCCATGACCTTCCCATTGCCTCTCCATGGCCAGCACCCATCACCTCTCATCCCATTCCATCCCATCCCATCCCATGCCCATGACCAGCACCCATCACCTCCTCATCTCTGCCCCATCATCAGCACCCACCACCTCTTGTATCACCTTCTCATGTATCCCATCCTCATGACCAGCACCCATTTCCTCCCACATTTCCCCAGTCTTTGGGAGAGGGTCAAGGCCAGCCCTGGATTTTCCTGTGCTGAACTGCTTCTCATTAGCCTGGCAGGGTAATTATCCCAATAAAATTTCCTACTGGCCCATAAAATCCCACCATTTATGGCTGAGTCCTATTTCTAGCATCCAAGGTGGTCCATGAAGTAGGATAGGGAAGTGGAGAACACCATGGTGAGAGGCAGGAGCAAACAGCCACCGGCTGATAGGGATTTTGGCAGCTGATTTCCTTGGGATATCTCCAGCAGGAGTTGGAGGAGTTGGTGCTTTGCTGAAAGAGTGAGTGTCCTCACATAGTGTTTTCCAGGTGATGTTGCTCCACTCATCCTCAGTGTTTGGCTTTGAGGGATCTGATCCAGGTCATGGTGAAAAGAATCCCATATCCAGAAGGTTAGAACATCCAGCTGGATTATCCTGAGCACAGAGATGTGTGTGGATGTCTGGGATTGCATTTGCAGATGAGGCAGTAGGGGAGATATGTGGGAGGCTGATGAATTCATGGAAAGAAAGTTGGAGGTGGAGAGGGAAACCATTCCAACAGGGAAAGCTCCATGGGGCTCCCCACAGTGTGTGCTGAGTGTCCGTGGGGATGGGGAGGAGCCTTCACAAAGTCCAGCACAAACTGGGCCAAGGTTTCAGGTGGAAAATGGGATTATGGAGAGGCTGATCTTAAGTGTGATTCCAAAATGACTCCAGGAGTCTCCAGACATCTCCAGCTGCTGGGTGTAAAATCTGGGATTGTGGGTTATTTGGCATTGGTTTAATGGAGATTCCCAAAGCCAAGGGAGAACTGCAGGGCAGCTCCTAACATCAGGCCAGGCAAAGGGATCCCAATCGCACTTTGGGGCCTGGGAGATGTGACTGTGGTGGAAGAGTGAGGCTGGAATCAGAGTGCTGGGAAGAACCTGGGAGAGGGATGCTGTGACCCAGCTCTGTGAAGGTCTCACCTGGAAACCATGAAGGTGTTGGCTCCACTCTGCCGTAGCACCGGAGCTGGGTGGATCCCTGGAGGTACACACGGAGCCAGAGAGCTGCTTGCTGGAGGTGGAGGTGTCCATGCATCCATGGGTCTGGATACATTCCCTTTCCCTGGCTGTGACAGGGATGTTGCCATATCAAAGGGGACTGAGGGGCTCAGGGACATGGTGCTGGCCCAGGTCCCCTCTCTCCCCTTGGGAATTTCATCCCACTATGCCCCCCAGATCCTCCCTTTCCCCTTGGGAATTTCACCCTGCTGTGTCCCCCAGGTCTCCCCTCATGTGTTTCATCCCACTGTGTCCCCCCCCTCTGCCCTTGGGAATTCCATCCCGTTGTGTCCTCCAGGTTCCCCTTTTGCCCTTGGCAATTTCACCCCCTAGTGTCCTCCAGGTTTCTCCCTGCCTTTGGAAATTTCATCTCACTGTGTCCCCCATCTACCCTTGGGAATTCCACCCCACTGTGTCCTGGGGTCCCCCCTTTAACCTCAGGAATTTCACCCCACTGTGTCCCTCTGGTCCCCCCTTTTCACCTTGGGAATTCCACCTGGCTGTGTCCTCCAGATCTCCCCTCTGTTCCTGGGAATTCCACCCCACTGTGTCCCTGAGGTCCTCCCCTTAACCTCGGGAATTCCACCCCGCTGTGTCCCGGGGTCCCCCTGCACTCGGGCTGGGGGGTCTTGGCTCAGCCGCAGAGGCACGGGAAGGGTTGGCCAGGACCCCTTGGAATTCGGCATGGGAGGAAACCAGGAGATCCTGCCTTGTTTAGTCTAGCGGAGCGAGGGCCGGGGCAGGGACGGCTGCGGTCTGCACATTCCAGCGGGAGGGACGAGCCGGGAGCGGAGCGTAGCGGGGGGAGGGTGGGTGGGATGCTCTTCCAAAGGAAAGCAAAGCCTCTGGCCAGGTGGCCCGGGCTGGCTCGGGAGCACAGGAGGAGCTTTGTGCAGGATGAGTCGTCTCTCCAGCTTCTCCCTGCTCGGGAAGGGCTGATCCCCTCTAGAGCAAAAAACAGCATCAAAGCTCAGCGGCAAACGGAGCTGCTCCTTCTGTTGGTCTCTGCTCGCAGCAGGACAAGAGGGCACAGACTCAAGCTCTGCCAGGGGAGGGTTAGGTTGAATATTAGGAAGAGATTTTTTACAGAGAGAGTGATGAGGCATTGGAATGTGCTGCCCAGGGAGGTGGTGGATTCACCATCCCTGGAGGTTTTCAAGCTGAGACTGGATGTGGCACTTAGTGCCATGGTCTAGTGACCATGGTAGGGTTGGACTTGATGATCTTGGAGGTCTTTTCCAACCTGGTTGATTCTATGATTCCCTCCCTGGGCTGGAGCTGGGGCTGCTCCCCCCAGAGCTGCTAGATGGGGAAGCTTTTGGTTCTGGGGAGGTTCTTTTCTGTAGCAAGAGGGTTTTGGTGCCCAGGAGGGGAAGGAGAATCCACACCGCTCCCTTTTCCCCAGAAATGGAGGGGAGTGAGGCAAGTGCTGAGTGACACAGCTGCACGTGGAGCTGGAAGCTGCCAGCTCATGTCCTGCCTGGGCACTGGAACCACAGGAGGACACGGAGGTCCCAAGTTCCCCCTGGAGCTGCAGGAGGTCCATCATCCCCACTTATCCCACTGCATGGACACGTCCCTCCCAGGCAGGGACTCGGAGGAGGCACTGAGAGGCTGTCAGGAATTTAATGGTACTTGGCACTGGCAACTGTACAACACATTTACAGAGAACCACACACTTGTGTCTATGTACATCCTCTTCCCATTCCCAACACCACTGGCCAAACATGTGATTGGCAGGAACAACCCCTGACATGGAGCTGTGGCTCCTCCATCCAGAATTCCAGGCAGCAGGGACTGTGGGATGTGCTCCCCATGCCTGGATTTCGGGTAACAAGGATCCTAGGGTGACTGCTGAAGGACACGAGGCCCTGCTGGCCATGCACAGAGCTGTCCCTACGCTGTCTCCACCGCTTTGCCCTGCCATTCCCAAGCTGGAGCTCCCCCTGGAATCTTCGGAGCGCTAGCAGTCGGCAGTGCTGCCGTTATGAGTATTTACAACCACTCTCCTTCCTCTTCTTACACCTCAAAGTCTTCCTCTGCTCTACCTTTCTACCACATGCAATAACCCCTTGGCTGCCTCCAGTCCTGCTTCCCTCTGGGAAAGCATTTCATCTCCAAAAGGCAACAGGAACACAAACTACCTTCACTCCCTGCTACACCCCTCTACTCACTGCTCCTCTCCCCTCCCCACACCCTTTACAACGTGCCTACAACCTTCCTACACCCCCTAGTAACTCAGTTCTCTTTCAGTGGAGCCTCTGCTGGGGCTCTTCCCAGTTTCCCCTCGGAGCACATGGATCAAGTACTTGAAAGGAAATGCCAAGTCTGGACAACAAAAATACAAAAGTAAAAAAACAAACAAACAACCCCAAAAGAAAACCAACAAAAAAACCCACCTCCAAAACTTGCAACAAAACAACTAATAAAAAAATTAAATAGTCGGCAGGTTACAAGAGTGAAAATGAGGAATGTACAAAGGACACAGAAGATGAAAGATTCCAGTAGGGAATTGAGACCTGTTGAACTTGGGGTCTGGTGGGTTTGATTTTTCCATTTTTTATACCATAAATATTTGCCTGGAACACCATAACTACAGGCTCAAATGTGACTTCAGGTGCCGAGTCCACTTCAAATCTGAACTTCAAGGACTCTTAAAGGACTTTCAAGTCCTTTCAAGTCCTTCCAAGTCCACTTTGAAGGACTCTTGCTGTGCTGATGGAGACCCCCAGTGCTGCCCAGCCCCAAATTCCACTTGATTCTTTTCCAACCTCCTGTGAAAATCCTTCAGCAAATCTGCTCTTCAGATCTGCACAAGGGTTTCTGAAACCCCTCAAGGAGGGCTCACTGGTGAGTAAGACCAGACCCCAGTTCAACAGTGAGTGAATCCCAGTAGCTGCCATAACACCTAGCCCAGGCTGTGTCCCATTCCAACAATGTCCAAGGCCTTATTTATAAATAAACAGTTCTCCCCCAGGATCTTACTGGGCTCCTCTTGCCTTTACACAAGGGTTTCTTTCCTCTTCCCGCTGAGCTGCTTCTCCCTGGATTTTCTGTGCCAGGATGAGGTTCTCTGTGTTTTCACACCTTTGGCTTCCTCCAAGTCCAGGATGGAGCCACACTCGGCTGTGCTCTCGTCCAGCTCCATCTGGGATATTCCTGACTGGCGCTTCTGGGCTTGGATGTTGGACATGGAAGGGTTGTTCTCCTCAGACTCCTCACTGAGCTCTGGCAGCTCCTTGAGCTCCGTGGGGGCCGCGTGGCGCTGGAAGGGCGCGATGGCACCTCGGATGCAGTTGACCCATTGTTGCTTGTGGAAGATGTCGTTGGCCTGGAGAGTGTGGGATTGACCTGGGCTGGGATCTTGGAAGCGAACTCGGAAGATGTTTTTAGCTGGAGAGAAACAGGGAAAAGCACATCAGTTTGAAGCTCAAGATTTAGAGATTCTATTGGTAGATAAGGAACTGGCTGGATGAACCAGACAGTTGTGGTCAATGGAGCTAAATCCAGCTGGGGACAGTCACTGATGCAGTGACAGGTTAATGGTTGGACTTGATGATCTTAGAGGTCTCCTTCAACCTTGATGATTCCATGATTTTATGAACTGCTCCAGAGAAAAGTGTTTGAAATCCCACCAAACCCCCAAATCCAGCATGGACACACCGAAACAGATAGGCCACCATGGATGAACTGGTTTGTTCCATACCTTTATCAGAATTCCCAAAAGCTCCTCGGAAGGATCCTCCCATCTTCACATCTCCATCCTGAAGGTCTTCTAGGAGCAGCTCCTGGACAGGGATGGGCTGCCTGTAGACCTGGAAGGCCTGGCGCTCGTTGCGGGTCACCGGCCGCGTCAGCACCAGGATGTCTTGGAAGAGGAAGACGTAGAGTTTCTGGAAAGACAAAGACATTTGGATATGAGCAAAGCCTTGTACTCTGTATCCATGAGGTCATCCATCCTTTGGGATTCAAGGCCATGTTATCTCAAGTTTCAACCGTGATAACCTTCTCTTGGCCCTTGGAGTAACAAGTATTGGCAAAGAGCAGGATTACATCACCTGCTTTATTCTTTTATTGACCCTCAAAGGCAGTTATGATTTGCAGATGCCAAGGATAAGGTGATTTCATCCCAGGGCAGAGCGATTAGATGCTGGGATAGGATGATTACACAAACTACCTCACGTGTGAAGTGGAACGGCCAAATTAAACAAACAAAAAGAACCCAATCAACAATAAAATCAAGCAAACAGAAAGAGATTTGATGTTAGCAGCAAACCCTGGAGTACAGAGAGGTCTCTCAGCACTGCTGCAGTGGGAGATAAACTTCTGGCAGCTCAGCTCAAAGCCAAAGAGGCTTTTGCAGGAACCTTTTGTTTGGAAGAGCCGTGGGCCCAGCGCTCCTAATGGGAATGGCAGAGCACCTGAAAGCAAACAGCAGCAGGAAATCCCTTTGCATGGAGTGGCTCTTTCCAGGGGCATTATTTGCTAATGATTTTCCTGCTTCCAAAGGCCAATTGTGAAGCTTTCAGCATGAAACTTTACCTTACAGCCCCATCAGGGGCTCTCCCTTCTCCACTTTAAACTCAGCCCGAACTATCCCTAAGGATTTAAGGCTCCAGATCCTGCTGTTAAGTTTTAACCACCTCTGAGGGAAGTTTGGGAATTACTAAGAACGTGAGGGACTTACATGTCCGTTTTTATTCTTCAGCTCCCCATGGCACAGTAAAGCTTTGCTGCCTTCAATCCTTGGATCCTTCTGCTTCTCATCCAGGTATTCCAGCTTGTCAATGTAGTACTGGCACTCGGACTCGCCCTTCTTCAGGTTGATGTCAGAGAGGACTCCTTGGATTATAGATATCTAGAAACCCAAACAAATGATTAATAGTGACTTCTGTTTCCTGCCCTGTCAGTGCTGCTGCAGGACTCCATATGGACTGATCCCTTATTTCCTTTCCCAGATGGTGACTCATGGATTTGTGAGTCCACCAAGAAAATCACCCTATGAAATTGCTGAGGGTTAAAGCTTTCTGGAGCTCCAAACCAACACACTTGGCTCAGAACTAAGCTGTTCAAGGCCAGGTTGGCTAAAGCCTTGAGCAACCTGCTCTGGTGGGAGGTGTCCCTGCCCAGGGCAGGGGGTTGGCACTGGATGATCTCTAAGCTCCATTCCAACTCCTGATTCTGTGTTCAACAACCATCATGAAACTACTGTTACTTACAGCTTCCTCCAGGATCTGGATATCAGGATGGTCTTTGGGTGTGTGCCTCAGGATCTCCTTCAGGAGCAGTGGGTACTTGACCAGGCGGCTTCGAGGGATGTCCAAGAAGCTCCAAAGGTCCAACTTGCGGCTGAAAGGAGACTCCAGGCAGCGCTGCAGGAAGTCCTGCACCCTCTTGTCCTGCTTCTTCTGATCCAAGAGAGCTTTGGCTGCCAGCTGATTGCTGCAGTACCCTTTGTAGGCATGGAGTCGTGGTAACTGCAGGAGAACAGAGGGATATCCAGTCAAATTCCATGTAGGAAAAGAAAACTGCATTGACATGTCAAATTCATGGAGTTCTACATCCCTTACTGGGACAGTCTGACCAAGAAAAAAACGCTAAGGGAGTATCTTGTTGGTGTTTTGTGAGGAGGACATCCCTGTGAGGAGGACACCCTCGTGGGGAGAACATCCTTGTGAGAACATCCTGCAGGCAGAGCCTTTGAAGCCCTGATGGCTGAGATGAAGACTGATAACACTATTGCTATCACACTGGTGACAACCAGCCCAGGAGACACAGGTATTTCTCAGCTGATATTTGCAGTCACACAAGGGGAAGTCTCCAGGGTGAAATCCAGACCCATTTCAGTCCCATTATTTCTGGCACAGCCAGGATTTCCCTTTCAATCTTGTGCTCAAGGCCATAAAATCCCACAGCTTTTAAAGTCTTTTAGCTTTAAACACTCCCTAAGCTCAGTTTTAGGCCACAGCCTCCAAGTTTTGTACTCACCCACTTAACAAGAATGGGCCCAATCTGCTCCACTGTTCCATCTGGTTTGGTTGCTTCTCCTAAACTTGCCAGTAAGTCTGGAATGGGAACACCAAAATAGACACTGTGACAATGCCCCTGCAAGCTGCTCTAAGAAAAAAAAGCTCAGAGGTTAACTCCGAGTCAGCACATCATGTGCAGAGCACCCAGTTGCTCTTACCTTCATGCAGAGGAATGTAGGAATCCAAGTCCCCAAATATGTGGGTGAGTTCTTCCTCAGACATGATGGAGAGTTTCAGCATGGGGTCGTGGTAGGCCTGGCAGAGAGTCATACAGGTAAGTATATGTTTAAAGAGACAGATGTAAGTGTTGGATACACAGAAAAAATACATATATAATATATCTATTCAAACCTCCCAAGCCCCAAACTGCCCATTTAAGTCTGAGGGGATAAACCATGTGCAGGAAGTAAAGTGAAGCCAACAGAAAACGGTGACTCTGATGCTCAAAGATTCACCTCAGGCACTTCAAATGAAAAGGCCTTTCCTACCTGATCTATTTCCATCTGGGAAATGATTTCCCAGTGCAGGACTGTGAGGCACAATCCTTTTCTGGCTGGGTTTGCTGCAATCAAAGCAGTGCTCACAGCAGCTTTCCGGGACAGCTCCCCACCTATGGATTTTGGGCCTGACAAAGGTCCTCTGTAATGTTTGCAGGTGTAATGTAACCTCGTTGTTATCTGTGCTGTGACTGCAGGATACACCACACTCACCTTCCTGGCAAGCTTCAGGTCTTCAATCAGGTCCTGTTCTCCCCTGGACATTTCATATATGGCCTGTGGGAAGGGGATAAAGCAACCAAGAGTGATTTTTAGTCCCAGCCTTTGTCTCCCAAGAGCCTTTCAGCTCACATAATGTACATCCTGTCTCTGCTGCCTGAATAGGGGTTTGGCCACCCCAATCTTTCTATGCCACCTGGGCATGACAACGCTGAGTAAATGTGCTGCTTTCCCAGCCCTGAGCAAGCAGCTTTTCCTTACAAGTTTGTGAAAGCCCCGATGCTCCTGCACAAGCCAAATTAAATATTAGCCCCTTTTAAATCACTGCTTTTCCACAGGCAAAGCATGGAGAAAACAAAGCCCAGAAAGCCACAGAGGTCAGATCCCAGGAGGTTTTAGACAGCTTCTGTGTTGTCTCCAGAAGATTTGTCTAAGAACTACAGGAAAAAAGGCAAGCCAAGGCCTTGCTATTTGGCTGGCAACCAAGTGTCAAGAGCTTTAGGAGGCAGCTGGCTCTAAGAGGAGCCTGACTTGGAGGCTGCTTGCTGCAAAGCAACCAGTGTGGCTGGGCTTGAGTTTCAGAGATGCTGAGCACAACCCTGGAAGGAGTTTGGCACCTCTGAAGGGTCAAACTGGGGAGACAAACTCTGTGGTGACTCGAGAGACACAAGTCTATCTTTTCCCATGAGTAAGCCAGTCATAAATCTAGCAGTGTGGGAATGAAGGTGCACAGGAAGATGCAGTGGCCTGCCCCCGATGCTGGTGACTGGAGAAGGTTGTGTGGAGATCTCAGAGCAACCTGCCAGGAGCTGAAGGGGCTCCAGGGAAGCTGCAGAGGGACTCTTGGGTAGGAGCTGCAGGGACACGACAAGGGGCAATGGGTACAAATTGAAAGAGGGAAACTGAGATGAGATTTTAGGCAGACATTTTTGCCGTGAGGGTGGTGAGACACTGGCCCAGGTTGCCCAGGGAGGCTGTGGCTGCCCCAACCCTGGCAGTGTTTCATTCCAGGTTGGCTGAAGCCTTGAGCAACCTGCTCTGGTGGGAGGTGTCCCTGCCCAGGGCAGGGGTTGGGGCTGGAGGATCTCTAAGCTCCATTCCAACCCCTAAAAAGTCTATGATTCTATGACTGTATGACTCCTTTCCCTGCCAAGGCAAGGGAAGAAGCCAAGGCCTTGGCTGCCTCTCCTGATCCCACTGTTCCTGGGAACTCACCTCCTGCCGCTTGATTTCTTTGGTGCTCAGGGACTCTTTCATGCTGACATCTAACATCTCAGACCAAAGGACACTGTTTCTTCTTTTAGGGGGAGTAGGAGCAGCAGATCTGCTACATGACTTCTGGGCACAGCCAGGAGATTTGCTGTCACTGCGAAGGGCAAACGACTGCAGAGATTGAAGAGAGACATCAGTAAAACGTGAAGAGTTCCTGTGTCAGAAGTATCAGAGCATTATCCATCCATCCCCCTCCCAATCCTTCATCCTCCTCCTGTGTTGTACAGTACAGGAAAACACACCCAGACACTTTTCCTCAGAAAAAGGAACCCTTTAATCAAGCTGCTGAGAAACTCCAGAGCCTGGCAAGCTTTTCCATGCCCCTCTCCCTGCACTGATCCTGCAGAAACCCTTGGCAGCAGGATGGGAAGGGAAAGATTGGGTTGATTTCCAAGCTATCAGGAAGTAAATAAACGAGGCTCATAATTCCACCTACAATCAGGAACTTGAACTTTGCTCTGGTGATTTGTAACATTACCAACCCCCCAGACACGAAGAGCTGTTATCTGCAGGTGTAGGGCAGAACATTCTTGAGGCAACTCCCCCAACATCCCTGCACAGCAAGGTCAGTTCTCACGGAGGCACATGCTCCCACACATGTGCCTCCAGTTTATCAGCTCCTCCTGCTATCTGAATCAGTTTATTTTTGCTTGCTGCTGACACCATCAAGAACCTGTTGATCTAAGTCACCTCTGAACTCCCTGAGGCACAACTCTTTTTCACCCCCAAGGCTCAACCAAACTTTCTGGCCTTGCAGGAGTGGGTTAGATTTTCAAGAGAAGCCTTTTCAAACTGGGAAGAATCTAACTTCTAGGGGTTTGGAATATTTCAATGTCTCTGTTAATTGAGTCACCAGATAAAAGCATCTAAAATTAAGGCAAAGAAAAAATTCCAAGGGATTCTGGTTTTGTTTCATTCCCTCCCACACTGGAGTGGTGTTTGTGCAGCTTCAAAGCGGCGCATGGTTACACTGCCAGGCACAGCCAGCAAAGGGCCTGTGTCTCTTCCACAAGGAAATAAGGGATTTTCTAGACTCATAAAATTTTAGGGGTTGGAATGGAGCTTAGAGATGATCCAGCCTCAACCCCCTGCCCTGGGCAGGGACACCTCCCACCAGAGACGGTTGCTCAAGGCTTCAGCCAACCTGGAATGAAACACTGCCAGGGTTGGGGCAGCCACAGCCTCCCTGGGCACCAGAGCTGTGCAGCACTCCAGGTGGGTCTCACCAGAGCAGAGCAGAGGGGGAGAATCCCCTCCTTGGCCTGCTGCCACACTCCTTGGGATGCAGCCCAGGCCTGGGTTGGTCTCTGGGCTGAGCTCACACTGAGCTCATGGGGAGTTTGTCAACAACCATCACACTCAAGTCTTTCTTCTCAGTGCTGTTCTTAATTACTTCCCCACCCAACCTGAAGGTTTCCTTCCTAAAAGGTAGTCCTGTCATTTTCCCCACCTCTGCACATGGCCTCACATGGCTCCTCGCGCTAGCACAGTCACCACAGAACCAACCAGGTTGGAAAAGCCCTCTGAGATCATCAAGTCCAACCCATGACTTGACATCACCGTGTCAACTCGCCCACTCCAGTCTCTCGTTCAACCTCTCCAGGGATGGTGACACCACCCCTCACAGCCAGTAATCCCCCAAATCTCCAGATTTTAGGGCTGGGAGGCTCAGTTTTACCTGGATTGTCTGTCCAAAGCGGCGCACGGCCCCATTCCGGACGGGGGAGATCAGGTTGGCCAGAGAGGTGACCCGTGCTAAGGGCCGAACTCGCTTGTTGCTTGGCTCCTGCAAATCAAGCAGAGAACAAATTGTACTGGCTGGAACTCCCACTTCAATTTCTCAAGCTGCCCAGGCAGGTTGAAAAAGCAAGAAGCCACTTAAAGAGTGGGAAACGCAGCAAAGAGAGTGTTTTGAAGTAGCAATTCATCTTAGAGGGAAAACAGAGGCTATAAATATTTGTCTGAACTTTAAGGCTGCAATTTAACAGTGGAGATTTTGCCCAGTGGAAGAGGTGAGAGAACAGAACATCAGTCGGGACTCAAAACAAGGCTCCAACAGGGAGTGTTATGCTTTGAACAGAAATAGATTGAAGTGACTGTCATCTAAGCATGGAGCTGTGATTTGCTTCTCCATTTTAGCATGTTTTTCCTCTGGAGAAAGAATGTGTTTTTTCATTTTCTTTTGGAGAGAAAAGCAGCAGTAGGAGCCCAGGACAGGCTGAGCAGCAATTCTAACCAACAGCAAACGACCACATGCTGAACATTCCTGGAGGGACACACACACACATGAAGGGGATAAAGTTTAAAACCTCCAGTTTACAAAGTTTCCTCCTCCTCTTGCTCTCCCCAACCCCCTGCAAGACATCATCATCATCATTTTTCTTCCACATTGTTTAGATTTGAAAGATAAAGCTTCTGCTTTTCCACACCACTAATCCCTGCTGGGAGCACAGGGTTGGTTTCAAGTCTGTCCTGAAGCAAAAGGCTGCCAAGAAAGAGGAAACACCCTGTGGAAACCTCCTGCTCCTTCAGCTCAGAGCAGGGCTGGGTTTCTGCTGGCTAGTCTAGGTTTTTACAGCCAAAATATTGTGTGCTGAGGGCTGGGCAGGAAAGGTGTGCACAGGGGGAAGGTAGGAAGAGCTGGGCTGGGAGGGAAGGCAAGGAGAAAGGCTGGAGGGGTGTCCTGGGGCTCCCTAACATCTGGCAGACGCTTAGACATGACTCATCAGCACAAGGATGTTTCTGAGCATGAAGCTCAGCTGGAAAAAAGCCTCTTTTTTGGGTTTATCTTAGTTACAATTGGTTAATTACAGCTGAACGTCTCCTCTTATCAAAGCCTGAGGAGGCTGATTAGGATAAGCTCTTTGCTATCTCTATTTCCAGCCCAGTTTGGTGCTCAAACCCTTCGCAAGAGAAGTGACAAATGCTGAAAACACCCTACACACACAAAAAAAAAGGGGGAATAGGAACACACAGAGCTGAATTCCAGCCATGAGACTGAGGAAGCATAAAAGCCACGTATGTGTAAGATCTGATTTCAGCAACATGACCCCGGGAGGGGCTGTCTGCCTGCCTACACACTGTGTGAGGCAACCGAGGAGGTTAGCTCACACCGAATTAAGCCTTCAAAGGTGCAGGGGGAGAACATGAAAAGCACAAATTTATGAGCACTGCAGCACAAAGAAAAGACCTCTTGGCACAGCATAAAGAGTTTCAAAGCTGTGCTTGGAACATTTGGGTCATCTCAGAACTATGAAGGGACTATAAAAATGGGAAAAAATCAATCTCAGGACACCAATCCTCAGCTGGATTTAGGTGCAG